GTTAGGTTAAGGGTTAGGTTTAGGGTTAGGTTTGGGGTTAGGTTTGGGGGGGTTAGGTTTACGCTTTAATTTTAACTTTACTGCTCACAGCGTGCTGTTTTCGTTGCGCTGTAATGACGTCAGGTACGCGCTTTCGTCGAGCGCGCTTTAGTCTACCGCAGTTTTGTGGTGGAACCTTTTGCAGGACTCAACTATCATACTAAAGAAGCTCTGGTGTGTATTTCTTAACTGTGGAAGTCTGGGTTGCTGCCAAAGTCTTGTCAGTGTGTTAATTTACTGTGAATAAATTGTCTAGCAGTAATCTTGTGTTGGCGTGACTCACGTACGGATGGGGGTCAGAACAGTTATGGATGTGAATCAATATATAAATTAGCAAGCAAAATTATTTCCATATTTGTGTCTTATAAATATCAAATCTTTACATACACAGCCTCTGATTCCAGATGCTTTGTGTAACACATTATTAGTCTTTGTCTCTTATCGCCTACAAAATCATACTGGAAATTAAATCTTGAATTTAATTGAAAATTAAATGAAAACTGAAAGTTAAATGAAAACCAAAAGAAACCCTAATCTACTTTATCTTTTTATTTATCAAACATAGCAAATGAACAGGGCATTTATACACACACAACTGTATAAGAATTAAAAATGTACTGCATTCAACATAATATCTTGCATTCTTGATTCTTCTTAAATACCTCCATCACCATACTTCTGAGCTTGAAATTCTTGGAAATCTTCTGGGATTGTATCTGAAATAAGAAAGGAGATAGAATCACTGCCCACTGTAGTTATGGAACTGGTGGGTTTTTTTGTTTATTTTTAAATTGCAGGTTATGAAATGGTAGAGATAGCTATAAAACATTTAAAAAATTATATCACTAATCAAATATGAATGTAAACATGTCATTTCTTGTCTTCCGAACTATAATTCTGCTAAAAAGAGAGAGCAAGCTTCAATTGGAAGCAGTGAAACTTTCCCCAAGGCTATATTGATGATTTCACAGATTAGAATAGTCAAAACCTTCCTGTACTTATTCTATGATCCCACTGAAAATTAGGAGCAGAGATGCACCTCTAATTAAATACTAATTTGAAAAAGAATTAAATCAACTGAATAATACTTCTTTGCATTTATATCCTGCCTTTTGCTTTTCTCTGAGCAGTTAAGCTTTCCCTTAATTTTATCCTCCAGTTTATTTGACCTGGGAAAATGATTGACCCAAAGTCACTTGATCATCCACAATAGTCAACTAAGACTTGAACTTTGGTTTTCCTGGTCCTTGTTCAGTACCTGAATCACTCTGGTTCACCAGTGACAATGTGGTGAATGACAGACTTAATCTAAGCCTCCAGTACATCATTTAGTGCAGAGGTGGGTTCCTACCGGTTCGGCCCAGTTCAGCGAAACCGGTAGTGGTATGGTGGCCTGGGTCACTGGAAACGTCAGTGACCCAGGCCTGCCATGCCCCCAAACTGGTTTCCCAGTCGCCACCACCACCACCTTGTTTTTGAGTTCTGCACATACAATTTTAATTGAACTGCACATCCAGCACGCACGCGCAAAGCCCTCGTACGAGCAAACCGGCAGTAAACCCATCCAGAGTCTACCCCTGATTTAGTGGCTATTTCAGCGTCCACACTATATCCTCACTTCTAGGAAAGGCCAATGAGAAACACAGTTGGCAGAGGTTGTGCTTTGAATCTATATGGAAAGCTTTGAACCAATAATGACCCATCTGCCTTTCTCTTTCCAAAGAAAGAAAGACACTGTTGCTTGGCCTGTGTTTGCTGCCAAAGAATCCCAACTTTGGAGCTGAGGAGTTATGCAATATCGCTATGCAACTGCAAGATTGATCTTCTGTTTCAGGACTGGAAAAGTGTCTTTTTTTAAAGATTATTTTAATTAAAATAAAGCATCATTTTTTTAAAAATAAGGAAAACTGCTGGAACTCACAATGGCACCATATGCATTTTTACAAATGAAAAACAGTGGGTTGGTGTAGTCCAGTGTTAGTATAAAAGGGTGACTAAAGAGGTAGTTATTTGTGTAACCACACTAGAGGAGTTAGTCTTTATTCAGTTGGTTTTTGATTATGTAAGAAAATGGATGGAAGAAAAATGCTACCGTTACAACGATATTTCAGATTGGACCAAATAATATTTTCCTGAGAGAAGCAGAAAACACCAAGTCTTCCTCCACGCATGGTTGTGTCTATGGTTACTCCAGAATCTGCTACCAGTTCAGATCCTTCATAAAATCTTGCCCTTTGAAATAGAAACAAAATTTAGTTTAAAATGTTAGTGACTTCATTCTCTGTGCAGCATCATTATATCAATAACACTTAAACTTATATACCACTCCATAATGCTTTATAGCACTCTCTGAGTGGTTTACAAATATCAGTGTATTGCCCCAATAATCTGGATCCTCATTTTACCAACTTTATTCATTATGCTCAATGAAGCTTAACACACAGGACATTATATCTAAAATTTAATGTATTACATTTTTTGTTATTATATCTATCAGAGGGTTATAAATCAAGCACACTTCAAATTGAATATCAGCTTGATCCAAAAAAAATTAGTTTAATCCCTTCAATTTTGTAATTTGCTTCAAAATATTGAATTGATTCAGCATAATCAATTTAAGCTAAAGAGAGATTTTCTGATCCTCAGAATAAGAGAAATTCACTTGTTAAATCAACATTCTTTCTAGATGGACTCTTTACATAAAACAGAAAAAAATAAGATATGGTATATAGGTTAGATGAGATGATTAGACAGGATAGATTATAGAAAGAAGTGAGTCATGGTGTAACTTTAAAGAAAGAGGTAAATTTATAAGTGTACACGTAACTGCTGAAAAGAAGAATCAGTCATCTCTTTGTATCTTCTTTCTTTTCTATTTTTCTTTCTTTTGTTGAACGTTAAAGGTTTCTCTTTCATTTTTTTCCTCCCATACTTTATATTAGTTTGTTTTTTTTACCTCTGCTTTAAAAACTTTTAATAAAACAACAACAAAAAACTAAAATATTGAATTGATTGAAATCTTTCAAACTTTGAAGATTAGATTTGATTAAAGTGTATGCAGGCATGTGCAAAAGGTCCCCTCACCTACCAGTTTAGTAATACGAAGACATATATTCAATTCAGCAAATCTAACCCAGCTGTTGGTATGTGTACATGTGTATGGGTACTAATACTAATGGGTAGTAATACATGGGTACTAATTTGTGGATGGGTAAATCTAAACACTGTACATGTTAGTCAATACCATGGAAATGGATATAAAACAATAAGGCTCTTCTTGCTCAAAGCTTTACCTAATATATCCAACCTGAGGTCTGTGTTGTAGGAACCAGCGATAGGAAACTTTATCTTTCCAGCCAACATTTCGTGGATCTTTCCATAGCAATCGGACTTGATCATTAGTGTCTCCAGTGTGCCAAAGTGAATTTCTGAGGTGTTCTCCAGGCCCAGTCTTTGACTTAACAGCCTACACATAGAGAAGTTAAAAAGAAGAAATTTCCATCAACACTTTTTCTCCCATATTCTAAGGAATGCCAACATCTGTAATGGTCTTTCCAGTCTGTAAAACACTCCCAATAAAGTAATGTTATACAACACAGATGTCGGCAATTCTCTCTGAACATATTGTTAGATGAAAGCCTTTATCATTTTGCTTAAGCCGGTACCTTCAGCTGAATCCCAGGTTCTGCAACTGCTCGAAATGGAGTGGCTTGCCAATAGGTCTGCTCCGTCTGTTTCCACATTACCACATAAAAGCTGGAGCTGTCTTGATAACCAAAAATGAAGCCTGCATAGTCATCATCTGTTACTGTATTCACATGGAAAGTGCCTTCAAAATCAACTCCATTGAAAGCTGTATAACCTATTCAACAGATGTAAACGGATGCATGAAATCCAAACCATCTGCAATTATAGAATCTGATTCACTGATAAGATTAATTCCCCCAATCTGGAGTTTTCCACATGCCTTGGGACAATTCCCAGAATTGTTCACTGGTGTGGATGAAAGATGGAAAACTATGGGAATTACAATTCTAAACATATGAAGAACATCCCCACTGGAAATACCATTGCAAGTGACTGCTGGTTCTTTTGGATCCAAGAGCCCCAATCCACCAGCACCAGGAAGACTTATCAACAAATACCAACTGTTTTATGCTGAATCTCATGGTTGGCAATCAAATCTGGGAGGCTCTCGCAACAGTCACTCATGCCCTTGTGACCTCAAGACTGGACTACTGCAACGTTCTCTACATGGGGCAGCCCTTGAAGNTTCTGGTGGTGTTTCTAGCCTAATCTTTATTGCCCTGATTACAGAAACTGCCTCTCCGGTTAACCCTTATTACATTGCAACAGCTAAGGCGAAGTGCCCATCGACCTGAGTGATGTTGAGTTAGCCACACCCACATAGTCACATGACCACCGAGCCCCACCTACCCAGCTGGTCATTAGGTCAGAGAACCGGTTGTTAAATTATTTGAATCCCACCACTGAGTAACATCATCATCTTTTAATGATCCCCATAACCCTTTGTGGGATGGAGTCTGGGCAACTGAATGGATCTGAGTGTTTATTGGCCGGATGCCCTTCCTGTTGCCAATACAGAGTTTTTTTTTCCAGCAGATACATTCTCATTGTGCCCAGAAGGAGAAATATCTGCCTCTCCCTAGGATCGAATCCACAGCCTCCTGATTGTGAGTCGAGAGCTCCACCTCTAGATCACCGCACCACTCATATAATTTACAGTATCCGGAATTTAAAATAACCTTCAGAAGTGCAATCTCTACCAAAATAACCATGGACGCTGTTTTGGTTATGGAAGAGAGGGGTGAAGTCTAATTTCAGCAACTTAAAGGGGACAACTAGAGCTGGTAGCTCCTCCTCCGACCACACCAGCAACAATATTGAGACTGAAGCAGGCTAGGTTCATGGCAAATATGAAGCTGGGAGAAAAAGGGAAAAAAACCCACTACTTAAAGCTAAATAGCTAGATATATCTTAGTCCTTCGCCAACATTGCTTATTTGATGGGATCCAAAATAAACGCAAACTGTGTCAGAGCATATTGGATAGCCAGACATTACGAAAGGCAGATCGTCCCTCAACCAGCTAAACCCTATGCCTCTAGGGCAGAGGCCAGCAAACTGCGGTTCTGGAGCCGCATGTGGCTCTTTCCTCCCTCTGCTGCGGCTCCATCACTGGTCGGCACCACAATTTTGAGAGGAGCGTCTGGTGGTGGTGGGAGGGGGGGAGAAGCACAGTGCACCAAGAGAAGTCTCTATGGAAAGGGGAGGGGTTTCCAGTGGTCTCCACTATTGATAGGGCTTTCGGTTATGACAGGTAGAGGAAAAAGTACATCACGCTAGGAGGAGACTCTATGGTGGGGGAACTGAACTTCCGGTCAGCTCCAGAATTGAACAGGGGTTTCCAGTTAGGACCTTTGGGGCTCCTGGAGTTTTCTTTTCTGCAGGAAATGGGTCCAAATGGCTCTTTGGGTGTTTAAGTTTGCCGACCCCTGCTCTAGGGCTTTATAGGTAATAACCATCACTTTCAATCACACCTGGAAGTCAATTGGCACAACCACTATGGCTTATGTAGAAGCAGTGGTGTGATTCAAATAAATTAATAACCAGTTCTCTGCCCTAATGACAAGCTAGGTAGGTGGGGTTCGGTGGTCATGTTACTGGGTGGGCAACTCAACGTCACTCAGGTAGATGGGTGCTTTGCCTTAGCTGTTACAATGTAATAAGGGTTAACCGGAGAGGCAGTTTCTGTAAGCAGGGCAATAAAGATTAGGCTAGAAACAACACCAGAATGTTTCCTTCCTGCCTTCCTTACAGGATTAGCTCTGTAAAGTGGGGGGGGGGGGAAGCAGATTTCTTCCAACAACCAGTTCTCCGAACTGCTTAGAAAGTTAACAACTGGTTCTCCCGAATGGGTGCGAACTGGCTGAATCCCACCACTGTGTAGAAGGGTATTACAATGCAGAGCAAGGCTTGCCCATCATTGCTAGGGTGGTAGTTTTTGAATGCTTTTCAAAAACAGGACATTATATAGCAAATTGCAACAGCCACCGACAAAATGACCAAGGCAAAGAACAAATGCAATTGGAACACAGGTTAAACTTCTGCAAAAGTCTCTCTGGCCACAGCCTCTCCCTGTTCTTCAAATGAATAGGAGCAAAATCCAGCTATTTATGCAACATCCCAACCAGAAAAATATTTCCATCCTCAGAGGAGATCTTGACCCAAAGATACACTAACCTGTTACGTCTACCTTGACAGTGACATCATAAAAGGGATGATTGACCAAGTCAGGGTTGATCCAGACATAATATTTCATGGCATCCTCCATCTCTACTGGATTGATGCTGAGAGTACAGTTGCCCTTTTGCAGATTTCCCACCACTTCCGTTCGTCCCTGGTAGGCTGGAAGGACATCAATTAGCGTTTTGCTGTTGTAGATTTTAGGGTAGTTCCAGAAATGATACTGGTACCAAGCCACACTGATGTCCTGAGAATCCCATGAATCTGGGACAGTGAAGGAACACGGGATGACCACACAGGATCCTTTTAAGGCTTGGATGGAGTTGGGCAGGATGGAACTCCAGGCTGCAGAGATAGGGCTGTCAAAGAGAACTGGAGAAAAGTTGGGGAGGGGAGGATAAAAAAAAAAGGAGAGGGATTCCAACTGGAGCTAAGATACCCCATGGCCCTTGAAGAACAGCCCTCATCCTCTGAAGGGAACTAATTGTGATGTATCTTAGTTCTTCTGATTCTAGACAAGTTGGGGAAGTTGGGATGCATAGTAAAGGAAGCATCCTGCTAGAACAGATCAAACATCTGTCTACTCCACCATTCGGTGGACACAATAGTCAATGTTTCTGGAATCCTTCAAGCAGGACCTAAACATGATGGCCACTTATGATCCCCAGCAGCCCCATCAAGAAGACCACTTTGTCCTGATGCTTTATTACATAACTTACCTAGGAGAAACGTCAGAGGGAGATATTCGTTGGACGGTTTCATGTTGCAAAGTCTCTTTGACGGTCGCAACCTGGAGATTGCCCCAAGGGTGGGGAATGGCAACTCCTTGTCCCGGTCTTCTCTGTCATGCGCAAATCGAACTCCCCAATGAGAAAAATGGATTGGATGAGAAAAAAGTTGAAAAGCTGAAGGAGATGAATCAGAAACCAAAATTGAGACCTTAGTAGAAGATTGTTTTAAATATTGATGATGGCCAAATACTGAGAACAAAATTCCGTGCATTCTTGAAAGACATTGCAGATGAAAAAGAAAATCCGGTTGTCTGAAAGTTGTACAGCCATGTAAGGCTTGAACCACCAACAGAAAGACTAACTCTCCACAAAGGGAGGGCGGAGTTGGGTGAATAAGCTTTGTCTGTTGGGTTTCTGCCACATCAAGAATGTTGAAAGCCTCCATCATCTCTGCCATTAAAAAAAAAGCACTAATATATGTTGCTTAAACATATATTAGTGTTGAAACACCATCGAGCTTCTAATCTGATGAAAGTGGGAGAAAGGATTCTTGCAAGAAATGGCAAGAGACTACCCCATCCCTCTTCTCCAACCCAACCCAACTCAACCCAGCCTCTTTGATGGAAAGCAAAAGTGATCAAGGAATCTCTTGATCAGGCAATGAAAAATGCTGGGACAAATTTTTACCTTCACTAACTTCTCTCTGATATTCCACTGTTGATGTTCTCCTAGGGCCAACGAACTGGAGGGATTATTAACTTGAAACATGATTATTCTCACAATGATCACCCATCCCAGCACTAGTTCTCTTGCTTTTGATGGCCACTTAAACTGCCCTGAGATATTTGGCCACCTAAGTTCACATTTAAGGTGATACTCTCTCCCTTCCATTGCTAAGGTGCAAAGGGATCACCACACCTTCTGAACCAAAGGATGTGATGGTGACTCATTAGGAGGACAGCATGTTTTTAAAGGCCATTTCCTCCCCTGTGCATGAAATGTGGACTATGGTCAATAGTTGTGGTTTCCTGATGAGTAATGCTTCTTTATCCTTTAGCTAAGGCTGCTAGATGAGTGATGAGTAGTCTAACCTGGGGGTGAAAAACGGCAGACTTGGACTTGAGAAGGGAGCAATGAACTGTTAAGGGAAGAGGAAAGATCAGCTGGTCTGGGGAAAGGGAAAGAGTGAGAAAGAAACCCAAAATAACCCCACTGTTAGGCCTACAGCGGTTCCTTTAAGAATCTTTAGCCTGCCACACTCTCTCTTCTAGCTTCATCTTTAGTATGCGGATTCATTAAGGGGGGAATAGCAAGGGGTCGGCTGAGAATGTGTGTTTTCAAAATAAAAAAATTCCTTCCTAGAAGCTCAAGATTATTCTTTGTCTCAGCACCTTGGCACCTGACCGGAACCAGCTGGGTGGAGATGCCAGCGTGGAAAGAGAAGATTGGACCATGTGATGGATTTGTGGGTGTGGGGACAAGATCATGAACTTTTAATTGGTTGGAATCCCAGGAAGCTCTTCGGAATTGGGATTCCATAGTATGATGCCAAAATGTCTGTTTTATTAAATTGGAACTTTAAGGATAGCTCTGCCTTGGACTCTGATTTAATTCTGCATGATCTTTGGGACACCCACACTGCAGCTGTGCATGGTTTGCCAATTGCACAGTGGCAGATCGGACAGCACTCCAGACGGTTAAACATCATTGCCCAGAGGATCATTGGTTGCCTTCTCCCCTCCTCGGAAGAGCCTTATCGCTCCCTTAAAAATGTTCAAAACATGCTTAAAGATCCATCTCATCCTGGGCACCCTTTCTTTTTTTAACTATTACCATATGGCAGACGGTACAGGATCATAAAAACAAGCACAAGTAGGCTGAAAAACAGCATATAACCCAGAATGGTAACTATAATGAATTCTACTGTAAAGTGCAATATTAATATCAGCCACCAGCTTTCAGCCTGCACTGGAGGGATAACATTTCTCTCTGCTGTTGAGACTCATGTGACTTTTCACCTCACCTAGCCTGAGGATCTTGACCTGATGTGTCATTTCAGTACCTCTTTTGACCAGCCCTATTTAAAACAAGGGGACCAAAATATCATCCCGCATAAATTATGGCCACCAAAAATGGGTTGCAAACATCCAGATGACCACGACATAACCCACAAATTTTGATTGACATTTTTTTTTCTTTTGAAGGGCATTGGTCATTGTGTTGGTTTCATTTGTTTGCTCAGGGTCTCCATGCTGGTTTGATGTGCTAGTTTGGTGGGAAAAAGTTGGTTGGTGGCAAAATTCAATTCCTGGTGCTAATTTTAAGCAGGGCATTTGGCCAAAGGCCTTTTCCCTCTCTGAAAAACAAGCAAAGCAACAGTTTGGCTTCCGAATGCGACACATTTCAAAAGCATGTGAAATTTTGTTCCAGCTCCAGGCTCTGGACACAATTGTCAATTTGCTAATGATCATTGTGCATGGAAATTGCTTGCAGCGCAAAAGCTGGACCTTTGCTTTCCCATCTCTCTCTCTCTCTCTCTCTCTCTCTCTCTCTCCCTCTCTCTCCCCCCCTCTCTCTCTCTCCTTCTGTCTCTGTCTCTCTGCCTCTTCCTCTCTCTCACTGTCTCTCTGCCTCTCTCTCTTTCTCTCTCTCTGTTTCTGTCTCTGTCTGTCTGTCTGTCTCTGTCTCTGTCTCTCTGCCTCTTCCTCTCTCTCACTGTCTCTCTGCCTCTCTCTCTTTCTCTCTCTCTGTTTCTGTC